CAAAAAATTTTAAAAATCGTACATGAAATAGATCCAAATTTCACAATAATCCGATTTCATAATCAGCCGTGACAATATATAATATATAAACTTTTATATATATATAACAAAATATTATACTATAAATAATAAAAAAATAAATTAAATAGTAAAATTAATTAATAAAAAAAATAAATTAGCAAATAAATTAACAAAGATAATAAGTTAGTAAAAATCTAAATTAACAAGAATAAATTATATAAAGTATATATCTATTAATATCGATATGGGTAGTGCTAAAGATTGCTATATAAGAGGGGATGAGTTAAAAAGAATAAGGTGACCATGTTAGATAAGGCTAAAATGAGTTATATTAAATGCCAGTCATCCAATAAGTAAGATATTTGTCATAAATAACAGGTGATTTTTTTCATCAGCGTTAATGTCACTCCATGTACCGCTACGCATCACATGAATGACGTTATATGATTTCAATTCACATGATCATATCACACACTGTACGAAATTTTAATATAATGTGAATCAAGAATCAAAGAAAAACACTTTAAGCAATAGACAATGGCACGGTAAATAGTATATATCGTTTTAGCCTTGCACTAGATTCAATGTTACAAATAGTACCGTATTAAATACTGCACGTTAAACGATTAATATTCGACACTGAAGGTTAAATTTTATTTGATGTCACAAAAACACTAATTATTTGTAAGAAATAATTTATCATTATGATTAATGTTATTTATTTTTTTTTTCTAATTACAAGTGTCATGCAAGACGTTTTAAAAGTGAATGTTGCATTTGCCAAAAACAATGCATCACTTAAGTCAGGTTAACCCACGAAAGGCTAAAAAAAGTATAATAATTCCGATTATGATTTGTTACCGCTCATTAACTTCCAAAATAGTCAACTCAACCCTCTCCAAGATCCTTCGACTCGCACTTCTGACCAATTTATACATCCCATATACAGCTTTAAGGATTCCTACAGCAACAATGATTGTGAAAAAAACAGCAGTGATTCCATCTACACCACGTCTACCACCTGATGCACCACCTGTTGGGCCAAATCTGAAAGGACCAAACCACATTAATGAGAACAATAATTGTACAAACCCTACAAATCCTACGAACATAAATCCTAATAATATGTGAACGTAGTCAATTTTGAATATTTTTGAGAACTCCATTTTTTCACGAAAAAATAATGGATCATATTTGAAATCATAATCATCAGCAATATAATCTTCGCCAAAATCGGCAATAGGATAAAGATAAAGAAGAAATTTTGCAAGAAAGCCGCCAATAAACACACAAAAAGCGAACAATGTTAAAGTGACAAATGTAAGAATAACTAATAATAAATAACGATATTGTTCGATAATAGTCAATAAAAATAATAATAAGAAGAATAATAAAATAGAAAGATGATAATAAACACTTACATTCATTAGTAGCGAATTTTGCAATTGTTGTTCTTCGAAAAGCATATTTATATTTACACTCGTCACATTGAAAAAAACTCGATTTCTTTTGACTTCGTAATCGCCAATGATTTAAACATTCCACGTGGACGTACTTCAAGCATTCAAACCGCTAGTTAATAATAGTAATAAAGGCTTCAATGAAAGAATGAAAAAACTAACCCTCATGGTTCCTTTACATAAACATGGAGAAATAAGACGACCGAGACTTTCTTCTTCTTCAGGGCCAGCAAAACATATGCGACACATTTTATCCTCCACGGGAGAATTTGCATCTGGAACAGAGCCAGTTTGTGTAGGGAATATTTTTTCTACGTTAGAAGATAGCTTTGAATAGTCACTGTCTAGTTCTATATGTGAAAGATCGTAAATTGAAAAGGATTATATAAGTTATTTTTGAATGTTATAATTAATAAGGCTAGATTCACCGTGCTCACTTCCTTCATTTGAACATGCCTCTTGTACGCTACGGCGAAGATATGGGGCTGACTCCAGATTTTCAGTCATTGATAAGATTTTTCATCGAAAGTACAAATTTATGTATTGGTATGTAATTGAAAAGTGTAGGTTTTTCGAGTTGTTTCACCAATGCATTCCTTTATTAATGTAATAAGAATTAGAGAACACGTGATAATGACATTACACGAGAATCTTCATTACACTTTAGTTATTCCGATTGATCGAAACTTTTTCTCATTTACATACGTACATAGGTACGTACTTCGTCAAGACAATTTTAAGGTGCATTAAAGAAAATTTGTACTATCGCTACGTATACATAAATTGCCGTGTAACCCACAAAAATTTAAAATTCACAAGAAAAAGTCGATGAACTGGATCACGTGCATAAGTGACCCGAGCAACGAAGATAGAATCAATTTGTAGAATGATTTATTATACAAGATTAATCAACTTTTTACAGTATATATAAAGGTTAGAACCTTTAAATGATTTTTTTTAGAAGCAATGAAAGTCTCCAATGTATGCGTAGGCAAGGTAGATCTTGCAACAAAGGAAATGTTTGTTTGTAAGGAATGTATCACGTGAATATTATAGGCGGTTGGTCGGTTGAATAACAAAAAAACCCAGCTTCTTTGTTATTAATTCAAGATTGGATTATATGATTCTGAATGAAATTGACAGGGAAGAGGATTGATTTTTTTTTCCCCGTTCACGTGATCGTCCGAAGTTCAAACAAAAAAATTCACTTGCGTTAGGGTTCGGCATATATTAGGATTAGAAAGTGTCCTTATAGTAAAATTGCACGAGGAATTTTTTTGTTAGAACAAAAGGTGATTTACTAGCGCTAGTATAATTTTTGCTAAAATCACGTGAACGGAAAATCGAGCCTCTGCCCTAGCGTTGTCGGCATCCCAAACATTTGAATCATATCCTCAAATCGATGTAGTTATATCGAAGCAGTTCTTCTAGACTGTGATCAATGACATTTACGGGTTGACGAACGTTTCTTGCTCTTCGTGCGTTCAGTGCCGGTTGGATTGTTGAAGATATTACTTGGCCTATTATTATTTCAATTGTAAGTTCTGAAATAATATATCATGTAATTAGTGTTGGACTTATAACAGGGTTTCTAAAAGTGTCTGATATCTAGCGAAATTTAATACTCACTTAAATACCAGGAGATGTAGATGAAGACCAAGAAAACAATCGTCATTTGAATGAGTGGACGAAACCAGTAAATTGTGTGTAAAAGATCTAAGTCTAAACATTAAAGAAAAGGTGCATTAGAAGTTGGAAAATCATTTGAGTAATATAAGTAATATACGAAATACCTTTTGGAACAGCGACGATCATGATGAACAAACGCTATGTTCTTTCTCGACAAATGCGAGATGGATAATGAAGAAACAAAATGAAAGCTATGTATATATATATATAAATTTTCTTAAAAACACAAACTTTAAAAAAGGTTATTAATAAACATATTTTGATACACTGCAGTAATTAGCATTATTGTACAAATTACTGAATATGGAAATCAAAGGCTCTTCTTGTTGTTTTTAGTATTGTGTGATGATAATAAAGTATTGTTCGTATAAATGACATGTTATTTAAACGGTTATCAAAGCAATTCAAAATACGCTTCTTGGGTTTCGTAGTCTAATCTTTGACAATCCTCATAAAACAATCCAGTACTCTAGTCGTGGCGACAAATTTTGTCGCTAAAATGAGATTCTACTTGGACAAAATTAATTATTCAAATATAATTTTTTCAAACTTTTACAAGATATCTCGACGACCCAACTATCTAAAATTGTAAGAAATTTTTTACTATATTATAATTAGGCCATACAAAGTTAATTTTTTGGTTCTCATAACATAAAATTTGAAAAATGACCCGGCAACCCGGCTTTTAATTTTATTTTCCAAAAATTTTATATATAAAAAAGCATATAAAAATTTTTATAAACTTCTAAAAAAAACTTCAAATATAGTCAAAAAGTTTTTTAAGAATTTTGCGAAATTTGACCTGGCCGGGTTATGAGAACTAATTTATTAAGTTTTTATGGCCTTATATATTCATATAGAACCGAAATAAAATAATTTTCATCAATTTTAGATAGGTGGTTGTTGAGATACCTTCGCTCAAAGTTTGGAAAAAACTTTGCCGCAATTTATGTTTTGATAGTTATCTAAGTTTTTTCTAAACTTTGAGCGAAAATCTCTTTATAACCGCCTATCTAAAATTAATAAAAAAAATTATTTTAATTATACAGGCATATAGAATCGGAAGAAAAAATTTTCATCAATTTTAGAGAGGTGGTTGTAGAATATCTCCGCTCAAAGTTTGATAGTTCTAAACTTTGAATGAAAATATCTTGATATTTACCTAAAATTAATAAACTTTTTTTTATTTAATTATATAAGTACAGTATATAGAATTGGAATAAAAAAATATTTATCATTTTTAGATAAGTAGTTGTTGAGATATCTTTGCTTAAAGTTTTGAAAAACTTTGCTATAGTTTTTGTTTAATACTGTAGTTATTTTTTTTCTAAACTGAGTAAAATAATTTTTAATTTTATATATCTGAATAATAAAAATTTCAAATTTGGAGTAAAGATATCTTGACAATTGTTTATCTAAAATTTTTTAATTTTAAATAGACAGTTGTTAAAAAAAATTTAAATAACTATTAAAGCTATAACAAAATTTTTTTAAACTTTAAGATATTTAAAAAATATACTTTTGTTAAAAAAATAGGTTATATATATATACTGTATATATAAATTTAAACTTCTAATAATATTTTAACAAAATAATTAATTTTAATATTTAAAAAGAACATTTTTAACCTGTGCAGAATAACCAGTATGCTATATCTCAAAAACCGCACTAGGAAATAGGTGTTGGGCGTAGCAACCGCATAAAATGTTCACAGACACATGATTTAAACCAATCACGACACAAGATAAGGTGTACATAACTCAAAATTTTGACTATAAAACTACTTTCTGCGTCTTAGCAAAAAAATTTCTTGCAAAATTTTACTACAGTGCCCAACAAAAGTTTCCCCGCACCTATATCTCTTCATAAAAAGGTGCTATGATCTTGAAAATTTCAGAA